GTTGGATGTTTATGCACTTTGTTAATCATCTAAGCGTTGGGCAATGAGTCGTTTGATTTTGTTGTGTCAATGGGAAGCTTGCACTGCCTTTGGCTGCTGTTTGTCTGTGTGACTGCTTCTGGTGAGGTGCATATGTGTGTATTTATGTGTGTGTATGTGTGTTCGCATACAGGGGCTGCCATGTCACCCTTCAGAAGGCAATCAATGCTRACATAGCAGACCCTCTACCTGCCTCCCATGTCACCTGCAGGTAGAGGGTCTGCCATATCACCCTGCAGGGGTTGTATGGGGCCTGCCATGTTAACAATAATCGATGCTCACATGCCTAGCCCTCTACCTGCCTGACCCATCAGCAGCTAGAACAAGGCCTGTCACATTAGCAGGGACAAGGCATACAAGGCCTACTATTTCAACAATCGTAGATGGTGATGTGGCAGGCCGTCCACCTGCCTCCCACGTCAGCAGCAGGTACAGAGTCTGCCATGTCACCCTGCAGGGGTTGTGTGGGGCTTGCCATGTTAGTTGACATGGTCGGCCCTCTACCTGCCTCACCCATCAGCAGCAAGTACAGGGCCTGCCAAGTCATTAGGAACAAGGCATAAAGGGTCCGCCATTATAACAATAATTGATCGATGCTGACGTGGCAGACCCTCTACCTGCAACTCACGTCAGCAGCAGGTAGAGGGTCTGCGACGTCGGCAATGAATGATGCTAATGTTATGATCCTGACCAATTTCGAGATACAATGTCGTCCAATTGCAGAAAGAAATGAATGAACTTGAGAGGAGAGAGAGGAATAGAAGAAGAAGAAGAAGAAGTAAGAAAGAAGAAGAAGATGATGTACACCAGCATAAACAAATATGACAAGGCTCTTCTTCTTCGCCCAACAATCTCCTCCTCCTTATCTCCCCCTCTCTCATTCATACAAGAAATAATAGTACAATGTCGAATGGCTGATCCAGAATCAATGTCCGAGTTCCTCTTCTWCTGTCGGTAACACTTGAGGTCCACCATAGCCATGACCGCCCCTTCCTTCCTCATCAAGGGCCGAGGGTATGGCGGACTATAGGGCCTTGCCCTGCTGTGCGAAGGACAACGCAAAGCAACTATGGCTGCTCCCACTCAGGCCGCCATGCCCAACTCTGCCTCAAAGCTTCTTGGTGTAGCTCTCCCCGGTTGGGGACTCCCTGCTGCAGCGCCCACCAAGGTGATGAAGATGGCTGCCACCATAGCCAGGTACTACCCCTGGCGCTCCTCCCCCTTCCTTCCTTCTTCCTCCCCCGTGTCCTACTCCTTCCTCGGAGTTCCTCCCACAGACTGGTTGGACTGGTACCCGCCTATACCTCGCCTACAACCGCTGGCCTCTAAAAATGCCACTTTTGTCTTCTTCTGCTCGGCCTCCAGTACCTGCACATCTACCCCTTCAAGGTGCGGTACCGGCCTACCCGCTACTTGAGTGTTTTTCCCGCTGCAATCCCTCAATGTCACGGCCACAGGTAAGTATCGGCCCTGAGGGCCCAACGAACGAGCAAGTGCCCTTACGGGACACACACTCAAGCCATCTAGCACTCAGACAGGCACGGCCACACACTCTCAAGCCAATCAGCACTCAGACAGGCACGGCCACACACCACTCAAGCCAACCAGCACTCAGACAGACATGCAGTCCAGCAAGCGTGCACACACACAGACTTGGTAGCAAGCGGGGAACTCGGCAAGGCATTCACTCTATGGGCAAAACTCAGAAATCAGCTGTGTGTTTCAGTCCATGTTTGGACGGGTCATCACACTAAGGAGGCAGGCCCTCTATCTGCGTCGCATGTCAGCAGCAGGTAGAGGGCCTGCCACAGCAGCTCTCCGCACCCAACGCAGCTCATTAAAACAAAAACAAAAAAAAACGGCTACGCCTGACTAGCAGAAGCCGCAGAACAAGCAAACTGAATTAAAAAAATGAGGCCATGGCCCCATGCCAGGTTGGCCTGTGAGGAAAACAGCAGCAGACACCTGAAGGCTGTTCAGGGGCATTTTTTGCCATGCGCCCCCATAAACAAAGTTTTTTCGGGTGGTTTTCAGGTTTTTGGACTTTCGAAGTCTACCGGAGATGCCGGAAAAAAAAAAAAAAAAAAAAAAAAAAAAACATAGTAAGAGACCCCTAGAATACGAGTAGGGTACGAGTACGATCCGTACTCTCGTATGCGTACGGGGGCCCGTACAAGTCGCAACGCAGGTTGACAAAGTTTGAGAGGTCATTAATGATTATCTCGTGAATTCTCTAGTCCTTTTCGATCGATAGGTCAGTCTTTACCAACCCCAATCGGATTGCTTCCAAGGAAGTCATGTTAAGTCTCTACATTAGTGCCACATGTTTCCGAGAAGTTCTTACTATCTATGTTGTTCTCACTCAATTTGTCTAGACATTAGTGCATGACCCGATACCCTTCATCAGAAAGGGAAAAGGGACTCATGAGTGTTTCGATTTAGTGTTGACAGTGAGCACATCAAACCGCTCGCATGATGCTTCGTACGCTCATCCGTTCGGACCAGAAGGATTGGGTTAACCGCCTCCCCAACATCAGATTCACCTACGACACTTCGTTGCATCCGACGATTAGCGTGAGTTCTTTCATGTTGCACCACCGTTGTTGAAAATGGCGTATATTTGAAGATCTTCTATTCTGAAACGGTTTTCACCTTTTAGCAGTAGCGGATGCAGTACCCAGGGTTCGATCCCT